CCCTCCCCCCTTTCGCCGACCCAACACATTCTCCAGTTTATATTTTTCTCGTGATTAAAAGGTAGCTGAGATATATTTCAACCTCTTTGATTTCAACAAAACCGTATCGTAGCCTTCATGCTTTAAAAAAATCAACATTGAATACTTTGTTTACTTGCCATACTAGACTCTATGGCTATTTCAACCTGTATCTGTCAGGCTGTCTGTCTTTGGCGCGAGAGGCAATGGAGAGTAATACTGTTCTGATATTCATTTAAGTATCTTTTCATCTGTAATCTTTCAACAATGTGCTTTGGAATGATCTTGATCAGGGCACGCACAACAACTTGAAACTGAATCTCTTCTCCTGGAAAACCATTTTGTTCTCCGAATAAATTTTAAGTTCCAGTTCCCAAGCATGCTGTTACCTTTGGGTTTGAAACAAGGAGAACGGAACAAAATACCACTTTTTCGACAATTTCGGATTTGGTCTTGCAATGAAACAAATCAAGTTTACAATCCAAAAACAAAAGACATATTATACAAATGTACAAAGTCTTAAATTAAACCACTCTATTCGCCACGAGTACCATGTTTTACAGCCTAGGTTAAAATGGTTTCACATGAGCACAATCCGCCATCCAACTCACATTTTGTTGTCTCCACTCATTACGAAATTGCCCACTCATGAATCAAAGACAAGTTTGTTGTTAGAAGAGACTGATACTGATATCTGGTGTGATGATTTTATCTTCGTGCGTTTGCATGAAAAGCCGTGAGTTCGATTCCCGCTTTGGAAAGTCGTATCGTATTCTATTGCGCACCTCCGACTTTCTGCTGTGGTGGTGTACCCCACTGACCTGGTTAGGGGGTGTTTGGTGGGTGGTGCTTTGGTGTGGTTTGCTTTTTCTTTTCTATCAAACATCAACTGTCCTGATCTCCCCTCCTCTCATTTTTTGCGTTTGTTGCTCTCTTGAAACACCTTATCTTCGACACTTATAATAATAAATAATAATAAATAGCATTTATACTGCGCATTTCCATTTCCTAAAAAATGCTCAATGCGCATTACAATGAAAAAGACATCACATCTTAAAAATTAATCGACACAAATGTGTACGTAAAACAAAGTATTATACATATAATATAAATGCATATGTGTAAAATTTTATACCAGAAAAACAGTCTCGCAGTGAGGTTGAAAATGTGTTCACTAAAAATATAATGCAATAAAAATTCACGAACAGTCAAAATAAAGCTGAAACGTGAGTAACTAGAAACATTCATTAAAACATTAATTCTATACAGATAGAAAAACATTTCCGTTCTATCTCTCTCTCTCTCTCTCTCTCTCTCTCTCTCTCTCTCTCTCTCTCTCTCTCTCTCTCTCCCTCTCTCTCTCTCCCTCTCCCTCTCTCTCTCTCTCCCTCTCCCTCTATCTCTCTCTTTCTCTCTCTCTCTCTCGCTATCTCTCTCTTTTCTCTCTCTTTTCTCTCTCTATCTCTTTCTTTTTCTCTCTCTCATTCTCACTCGCTATTTCTTCAGTCTCACAGTCTGGCATACACATGCATATATATCACAGTACATCATTATGACAGGTATGCTTTTGTGAATAAAAAATGCTTCAGCTGATTTTTGAAAATGGAAATTGTTGGGGCAGATCTTATTTTATATGGGATTTCGTTCCATACCTGGGGACCAAAGAACAAAAAGGAACGCTCGCCGTATGTTTTGTAGTTTTGTTTTGGAGTTTTAAGAATTAGATTGTCAGAGGCTGATCTAAGGGCTCTAGGTGGATTATATAATTCCAGGAATGTTTTAAGATAAAAAGGTGCTCTATCATTTATACATTTAAAACAGAGAACGGCAATTTTGTATTTAATCCTTTCTTTTATTGACAGCCAGTGCAGTTCTTTCAGAATTGGTGTTACGTGGGCTGATTTCTTTTGTTTCATTATCAATTTTCCTGCTTGATTTAGGAGTACTTGTAACTTTGATAGTTTTCCGGATGTCAAACCGGACAAAATAACATTACAGTAATCTAACTTTGATAAAATGAGTGTTGTTACAAGTGTCTTGGCTGCTGCTTTAGTTAAATAATTTCTTACACTGCCAATTTTCTTAAGCTGAAAGTAAATACTTTTGCTGAGCTGGCTTATTTGGGAGGACATAGACATATCATAATCCAACTGAACCCCTAGATTTTTAAGACTTCTTTTTGAACGAATGGTATGGTTATTAATATCAATTTGTAGCTCTGGGAGATTTTTAATGGCTTTTGTATTTCCACTCAACATGATTTCCGTCTTGTCATCATTTAGTTTCAATTTATTGCTGGTCATCCATATTTTTAAATCTCTAGGACATTGTTCAGTAGAGTCGACTAAAAGTGGTATTTGATCGAAATCAATAGACTTATAAATTTGAGTGTCATCAGCATAATGATGGTAATTCATGCCATATTGTCTTAAAATATCAGCAATAGGTTGTGTATACATTGTAAACAAGACAGGTCCAAGAACAGACCCCTGAGGAACACCACATCTAAGCAAAACATTATTAGAACACGTATTTCCAACCACAACTGCTTGTGTTCGATCCTTAAAATATGACTCAAACCATCGCAGGACAGTACCCTTTATGCCAAAAGTAGTATTTAATCTCTCGAGTAAAATATCATGATCAATGGTATCGAATGCAGCCGAAAGGTCCAAAAGAGTAAGAAGACATATCTTTTTTTCATCAATATATTTTAAAATATATATTTGACCTTGTTGTGTTGCAAGTGCCGTAAAACTCTTACGAAAACGAAAAAGACCTGGTTATCCCTTACATGTATGTCGAAGCATTGGCTTCCCAATAGTTCTACATCGTTTCAATTACAGCGTAAAAAATTATTGTCATATATTATATTGATAGCAATATGGACGTGGCACCCCTCCTCCTCGTTTGTTTAACCATCCAACCCGCGTGTGTACGATACAGTTTTTTTGGAGCCAAGCACACGACGTGGTGTTTCACTTTACCTTTCATTCCTTTGCTTTATTAGTCACCTGAATCGACGAAAGTGATGAGATGGATCAGGTTGTACTTAGTGGATTCAAGGGTTACTGATGAAGGTTAAGGTCTCGCATAGATTAGGGTTTGTATTTAGATCGCAGTTAGATCATCTATGGTATTCCTTTCTTTATTATTATTATTAATTGCGTTTATTTTGTTTCTGTTCAAGCATAATATGTGTATGTGATCAAATTAAATAATCATGATCTTCCGCTCCTCCTCGTCCTTTTTCTGTCCAACTCGTCTCTAAGCCATTGATGTTTCTCATTGTTTTCGTTGACACGTAGATACACTTAGAAAAAAACAGCAAACAAAAGTGAGAACTGTTCAGTGACACATCAATGCATGTCCTTAATGTCTCTCAACCCAGGTTCTGGAATAAAAAAGATGGTGATGCTCGTGGCTACTGACATACATTTCTTTACCTCTCTGTCTCTCCCCCTCTCCCCCACCCTCCCTCACCTCTCTCTCTCTTTCTTTCCCTCTCTCTCTCTCTCTCTCTCTCTCTCTCTCTCTCTCTCTCTCTCTCTCTAGCTATCTCTCTCCTCTCTCTGTTACAGCCCCCCTCTCTGGCCTTCTCAACTTCCCCCATCTCTCCTTTTCTTCAGCCCCCTGTTTTAATCTTTCTCTTTCACTTTCGTCTTATTACTTTTTTTTATCGCTGACTTCCCCCAAATTTACTTAAATCAAAACATTGGTTGCTCTTGCACCTTCTTGTTGACCACAATTCGACTTACTCGATAGTGCTTTGTCTTTAGAACAAATGAACCCAAGTGAATAAAATGCAACCATCCAAAGATTATTTACTCCAACACAAACAAATGCTGTCCACATGCATGTAAAATATTCAAGTTACACTGAAACATAGATAATTACATTTGCAAAAGGTACAAAACCAATAGTAATGAAGCCAGGATGTCTAACAAATTGTTCACATTTTGTTCATCGCCAGATCCGTCTGACAAACTCGAGACAGGGCCACCAATGAACCCCGCCTCGACATGCGGTTATACCACGAGATCCGCCTGTGCCGGAGGCCGGTGTGGTCGCGTTGCCACCCCACGTCCCCAAAACGTCAAGAAACCACTGTGTGGGTTCACAGGGGATAATGCGAAATCCTACGGAAGCTGCCGACCCTGCTCTAGGGCGGGGACATGCAGCGACAACGTTAGTTCTGGGAACTTTGTGCCGCCCACGTCATGCCCTCGTGAGGCACCTGCTTCCTCTGCCCGATACTGCAGTAGATCCATCCTTCCCCCACGTTCGTGTGAAAACTCGGGCTCGAAGGACTCATCTTCTTGGAAAAGCAACGCCTCGACCAACGCGTCTATGGCAATTTCTAGGAATACAACCTCTAGATGCAATAGAAATCCGAACGATACAGGGAAAAGCAGCCAGTGCTCTCTAAGCGCTTGTCAAGCTGCTAGAGCGAAGCACAAAGAAGGTTCGGTACCTCGAGGCCAGAATTTCAAAGACAATGGAACACGACCCGCGAGTACAGATCATAGAGAAATACGACTGGGGAAAACAGTCCTCGTTTCTACTCCTGCAGATCGACATGACTTGAGGGCGGGAGAACATCACTTCTGGGGCGTTGTTATGTACGTTACTGATGACAATCAGTTCAAAATCGGCACCAGGAAAGGTACAATAGGAAGACTTTTGGAGTCTTCTGAGCTTCGACCAGCTGCAAGTGAAAAGCTGAGTGTGAAAGATGTCCCAAACAAAACAATTACGTTCCGGGAAGCCTGTTCAATGTCTTTCTAAGACACATACGATCTGAAAATTACCAAATCTGTTTCAGTTTCCATTGCACAAAATTTTTATATTGTGGGATTCCATATGATTTTGTTAGTGTTACCTTGTTAATAAACATTTTTGTTTAACTTTATGCTTATAGTAAAATACAATGTTACACTCTTCTCTTTTATGAGATATTTTCAAAGCCTGTGGTCATACTTGTGGATAGCTATTGTTGCTTTCAATCCAGAATAAATTTCAAGTAATTTTAAGTACGTAAATGGTGTCCCCTTTATTTTGCACCTTTGAGACTACTAAAGTTTCGTTTAAAGAACTTATAGTTAATGTCCTTCTGTTTATGTTGACCAAGGCTTCAATTACTTAACCTTTCCGACAGTGGTACACTTTACAAGTTCTAAACATTATATTTGTGCATTATAAATAACTTGACATTGGCTCTTCGGTTGAAAGATGATAAAGAAATAAATTCAAGAAAAAGTGTGACTGTTTCGTTTTTTCTTTACATCAAGCAAAAAAATTAAAATATTGAATGAAGACAAGCCATCATCACTGGAAACTTGCAGCAACAAAAAAGCTAAACCCCGACAAGTCATTGCAGTGACTTACTGATACTTGCACTTAGCCTTGAGCAGTAACATGGAAGTTTACCCCCCCCCCCCTCATCCCCACCAAAAAAATATTATGTTGCCCTGCAGTAAGAAAGTCAATACGGATATCTATACCGGCATAAAATACTGGTACATTTCATAAATTAAATGTTGATGTATTGGTTCTCACTTTCTGTCGAAAATGAACCAGTTACGCAATGGACTTTACGTACTGTTTGGCACAATGTAGGTCATTTCAAAGACAGGCTGCCCCCCCCCCACCCCCAATTCCCTTCTTTCTTGACACAAGCCTAAGATACAGACAAAAAATAGCAATAGCCAACTTATGTATGAATTCAGTTTTAAGAAACCAACTCGGATTTTAACTTAAAGCATAGGAGTGCTGGCCTACATCTTCAATAGACTTCTCCACAGCAGACGGTAAATGACGTGTCCTGAAGCAAAAGCTTCCACCTAATGGGTGCACCTTTTGAACCGAATTTTTAAAGTAGATCTACTTTCCTCTCATCCCGGGTGTAGGTCACATTCGAAACGTAACTCCCAAACTAACGTCAGTGACTGCGTCATGAGGGTACCTCCTTCAGTTTCTCGCCCTGACTTGTAATGGGCAGCCAACGTTAATGAGGGGGCGTAACCACATATTTTTTCAGTCTTTGAAAGTAGAGGAACGTGAGTGTAGAGTCACTCCCCTTCGCAGATATTTATTTCTCCGTGGCATCAAAATAAATACGTAATAATAATATATAACTCGTCCGTCAAAGTCTGACGGTGACCTATACACCCACGGAGGAGAATATTTCTCCAGCGAAATAGAAGAATTAAAAGAATTAGAGGTTAAGGTGGCGTGGGGTTTCTGCTGTGGCCGATTAGACCAATTCTGGCGGAAAAAAGTTTAGACATTTTAAACATTTAAAAGCTCCCCTTCCACTTGGATGGCGTCGGTGGCCTAGTGGTGAGGCTACCGGACCCGTAATCTGTCCTTTTGGTGGTCCCCGCCTCTTAAACAACCTAACAGTGGTGATAAGGGTGTTGAACCTATGCCATTTCACCATTTTTTCCCTTCCACTTGCGGGCGTCTCTCTAATATGTCACACGTTACCATCATCATACTGTTTTTATTTGCTTGTTGGTAGGAGACGCACACAGTACAGCTCTGACAAGGTTCAAAGAATCGCTTTGTGTCTCTTTACGACATATGACAGTAAAATGACTTTTGTGGCATGAACTGTTGAGTAAAGTCATTTATCTATTATTCGTCTTCGTATGTGTGAACTTTCCTCTTTGAAAGAGAAGTTTGTGTGTGTGTGTGTGTGTGTGTGTGTGTGTGTGTGTGTGTGTGTGTGTGTGTGTGT